GGGAGCGCTTGAGGCTCTGGTCACGGAACTGCAGGCTCAGCACCCGTTCCACGTGGGTCTCAGTGGTGCGGACGCTGCTCAGCGCCAGGCTCAGGGCGCCGTGCACCATGGGCTGGCCTCTCTCGGTGGGGAAGTAGCGAGCCACCTTTTGCTGAGGAGCAAAGAGGGCCGTTAGGGGTGCTTTTCCCAGATCCCCGCTGGGCACCCACCCACCTCCCCCGCTCACCTTCTCCATCTCCGCCTCAGACACCAGCATGACAATGACCGACACTTTCTGCTCATGCACCATGAGCCAGAAGTCGGCAGCTGTGCCCGGCAGCGGGGCCTGGGTGGCCACCAGGGGCGGGCAGTATGGGGAGAGCCCCTCCACGCGGCTGGCGTTGATGTAGTCGTCCTTGCCCGAGCGCAGCACCACGCGGTTGCTGTCGTAGGGCATGACGTCCTGGTGCCGGTTCTTCAGCGAGTAGCAGCGGGCAATGGCGATGGAGCGGCCACGGGCGTCGTGTTCCTGCGCGTCCTGCAGCTCCCGCCAGACGGCGTCCAGGGCCCCGGCATCGCCCAGCTGGCCCCGAAAGGCCTCCAGCTCTTGCTGCAACTGCTGCAGCCTCTCAGGACGCTCGTAGGGGTCCCGCTCAATCAGCTGCAGGGCCTGTGGCCGCCGGCCCTCGGCCGCGTCCACCTTAGTCGGCTGCAGCAGGGGCTGCCCACCCCCGGGAGGCTGGGTGCCACCATGCTGGCTCTCGGGGCTGGAGGAGAGCAGGTCGGCAGCCACAGTCCCCCGGCGCAGGCATGGGGGCGGGTCTGCCGCAGGGGGCCGAGGAGGCACTGGGCCAGGCCCTGGTGAAGGGGCAGGTGAAGGCACCAGGTGGGGACTAGGGGTGGCCTGGCTGGCAGGTGAGGGGCCTTGAATGGAGAGAGGGGCTGCCTGGGGGCCCAGGGGCCGAGGGGAAGGGGCAGGACCATAGGCCAGGGTGGAATGGGGAGGCTGAGGGGGCCCAGGGCTGGAGAAAGGCAGAGCCCCCGAGTGAGGGGGCAGGGGATCCTGAGAGGGGCGGGGATAGAGCTGGGAGTGTAGAGGTGGTGGTGGCTGCCCCAGGACCGCAGGCTGGGGGGCGAAGGAGTAGGGGGGTGGGGGAGTCATGAGCCCTGGAGCCTGGGATGGGAAGAGGTGGGGATGCTGGAGTGGCAGGGGCTGCTGGGGGAGCTGCTGGGGGAGCTGGGGCCCAAATGCTGCCCGTGGGGGATGAAGCTGGGGCTGGGGCCCTATCCTCGGGGCTGGAAACCCCGTGGGGATCCCAGGAGGAAAGTGGTGCTGGGCTGGGGGTGCTGTGAGGGGCTGCTTAGGTCCCAGAGGATAGGTGTACGGCATGGACAGTGGCTGGGGTGGGGGTACTGAGAAGCAGGGTTGGGCAGGGGTGGG